AGTGGTCAGGCACTGGAATGGCTGCGCAGGGAGGTGGTGGAGTCGCCGTCCCTGGCAGTGTTCAAGAGGCGTCTGGATGAGGAGCTGCAAGGTATGGTTTAGTAGCTTGTGGTAGCAGCGGTAATGTGAAGATGGTTGGACTAGATGATTTTATAGGTCGCTTCCAACCTTGTGATTCTATGATTCTCCACTACTCATTTTTAGTTTCCCCATTTCCTGCAACTCAGTAATAGCACTGGATACAGCAAACCTTGTTCTATTTATTAACCACCTCAAAAGGCTGAACATGTGTCTTATATCTATGTCTTATAACTATGACTAATGGCTAAGAAGTTTAATGACCGCCTTCTGGGAGACAGATGTTACAACTGCACCATGCCTTGCTATGGGGTCTAGCTGAGGGTCTTCTTGCAGCTTCCTCCCCTTTCCAGGCCTATGGAAGACCCAACACATTTTCCCAATAAGCCAGCAAATATTTTTTGTAATACATTCCCCTCTTGCATCCCTTACCCTCTCTGGACTCTGGTCTTAGGTAGTTTTCCAGAAGTGCTCTCTCATGGCTGCTAAGAGCCTGTGGACGTGGAACAGCAGAGCCAAGTGCCACAGATCTGTCATGCTTTAGGCAGACAGAGATTATATGACTGCAATGAGGCAGAAGGTCTGCACCTCTGCTAGGAGACTGTGTTGCTACCACTTCCATTTATTACATGTCTTGTTAGCTAGGGCAGGAATGATGTCTGCCAGTGAATCAGCCTTGCTGGTACCAACTGCTGCAGTATTTTGGGGGAACCTAAGGGTGTAAATTGTCTCCCGGATGGCTCCTGTATGGGAGAAAACTGTGGTCACTCTGAGAACAATTAAGCTGGTGATGAATAAGTATGCAAACATACATGGCACAGTGCAACCTTGGGTGAGTGGGTAAAGAAGCAAGCCCTTTGGCTGCCAAAACAGACAACCAAGGCAGGGGCATGTGAATCAGCCTTCCTCACTCCCTCCCCTGAGCCACTATCCTGCCTTTACCCTGCTGTCCCAGCCCAGCTGAATTGGTTGCACTCAGGGAGCTATAGCAACTCCAAGCTCTGGAAGCTGCTGCAGCAGCAGAGCTGTAGTTCATCCACCAGACAGAGGAGTGTGGGGGGACGTGGGGGACTGCTGCAGAAAGCAGTGCTTTTGTCCTGCCTTCCAGCACTGCCAAAGGTTTACCCTACCTCTAACCAGCCTTGGGGCTTTACTCCCTCTCTGACTTTGTTCATGGCAAGACAGCTCAGAGCCTGCTGACTGCCCAGTCCACCCACCTTGCTCCCACATGGTGTGGAGATCATGACTTTAAGCCACAGGACATGCTGTGACTGTCACCTGCTGAGCAGCCTGCTCCAAGCAAGGACAACTGTTATAGCACATCTCCAAACTGACCACTACAGCAAGGTATGAAACATTCTCCCTCCCCTCCCACCCCTCCTCTGAAGACATCTGCCAGCTCTCCTCTGCTTTGGGGCATCCCCAAATCCTCCCAGATCCCCAGCAGGTCATGCCAGTCAGAGATTCATTTTCAAACTGTGTGTTTGAAAATATTCAACAACAATACTGGAAATAGGGTTACAAAAGCAAAGCACAAAAACATAACATGTACACGCACACATACAGTTACTGAACAACTAGGTTAAAGCAGCAGTCAAGACTCATGCTGTAGTTACACACCCCATCAAGCCTCAGCCATTTTGCCAGGCAGCCCAGCAACATCAGCTGACACAACTGATAGAGACAGTGCTCTCCACCCTTCCAAACCTTCCTGGCTTTTCCCTTACTTTAGCAGTTCCAGGGGGAAGAGCAATCAGCTCAACAAAGCAAGGACAGCTGGTGTTAGGGCAGGGCTAGGGTTGTGACTCAGACCACGGTTACCCACTTGTCAGAACAGCGCAAGGGACAGCATGTGCAGCAGGAACCCTTCTGGCTGCAGCACATCCCCAAACCTGATCAAGCCATTACTGTGCTTCTCAGTACCTCTTGAGTTATTCATCTATTGTGCTCCTTAATTTGTATGCTTCTTCTACCCTTGCTGGCTTCTCTCCAAACCACAACATTTGTTTGATTTGCAGTAAAATTGCCTAAGTTGTAAACCTTAACAAAATATTCACTCTACACGCAGCATAATAGCTCCTTATCTTAAAGCTTGCTACAAGCATTGTATGGAGTCAGCATGTGATGTGACTGCCTGCCTTTGTACAATACTTTTTCCTACAGAGACAGCTACTAATTACATTCTGTGTGGCACACTGGCAGACTGGTCCCAGTATCTGTAAATTGGCTGTTTAAAAACAAACCAAATATATATCTATATTTGGCAACTCTGTTTTAAGTGTTGTTCCTCTCTCCACACATCACTAGGTTCCCGATACCCCACCACTCACACTGTGACCCATGGGAGACTGTCTCTCCCAGTTCTTTTTCAGGTAGTTTCCTCATTCAGCAAAAGCATGAGGCCGATGGGTCCAAGTAGGAGGGCAGGAGGCATGCCCTCCCTTTTCTTCACAGTTATTCTGGTTTACACTCTGGAGGGCAGTAGAAGACAGACAGCTACGTCCTTTCTCCCCCTTGTCACCGTGCTTCCAGATGGGTCCCCAGAGGGGCACCTTCTACCCTCCTTAGCTTAGACCTGCAAGTGCATGGCAGGTTTTACACCCACTGTGGCACTTCACCCCTGAGCTTCTCCAGCTCTCATCTGACATCAACTGCTTCTCATGCAGGGCCTTGGGTTTTCTCTCTGCCACTTTTCCTTTCACAGTAACTTCACACTCACAAGCAGCAAGACTTCTGTGCTGAAAAAGTGTCCCCAGTGGTATGGCACACCCCAAGAATGTGCCTGGTTACCTTCCTCTGTTCTACTGCATGATGCTGGAGACTGTCACTAACTGACATTGGTAACAGCACCATCTCTCATTAGGAGGCTACAAATTGCTCTGGTGTCACAGCAATCAGGAGAAAAGAGTCAAATTTTACATGTGATGTAGATGGACACAAAAGCTGAGGGCCAACGAACAGGATGCCAGCTAGCTGTTCAGAAATTCAACAGCAAAGCACATGAGATGCAAGAGAAACAGATGCAGGAAGTAGCAAGAACTGTGCAGTGACAGCACATGGTCACAGGGAAGAGTCAGCAGCAGGAGGTCTTTCCTGTACTGAAAGTGGCAACAAAAAGAAGCTGACTATTTCTCAGAGCAGGAGCATACTCTTCCTGCTGCTTTTATGTAAAACTGATGGACAGGATCAGCAGCCTTGCCAGGACTTGGAGCAGCCAGCGTGGGCTGGAAGGCTTGCAAGGGGCCTGGCTGAGACAAAGCAGCTTAAATAACCCTGCTGTAGGCAAGCCTTCCTAGGACACAGCACAGTGAGCACGAATCAAGTACCCCTTTGCAGAACTGCAGAGCCTGCACTCTCCCCACATGCCTCCTAGCAGAGACAGGCAGAAACAAGGTGTGATACTGACCTACAGACCTCAGAGATTGCCTTGGCTCCTCCTGTGTACAGCCCATTCCTCTTTCATAAGCCCCAAACAGTGGTAACAGCACTGCAAACAGACTCTGTCCCTCCTAGTTCCTGCACAGCACATCCCTCAGACAGCTAAACACAGACATCACAAGCATAAAGCCTGCACAGGAGGGGAGCAGCATCACACTGCAGTAGATGGGGACAAGGTGGAGTAAGCAACTCAGCCCTGGCAATGCCTGCTCTGCTTGCCATGCTCAGGTATTGTGAGGATGAGTAATGGCTGATGAAG